TTGATATAACTAATATAAGTTCAAAATAAATAATAGAAGATTTTATAGCAAAAATTTGATATTATCATAAGTCAGCTTATCTCACTTATATTTTATAAATATATAAGATAATAACTACTTACTGGAAGTCAAGTACTTAAATCGCTTTAAATAATAAGATCGCTACTTAAGTTATTAATTTAATCTATGCAACTATTCTATAGCTATAAACTCTATCTTATGTTAAATATTATACAATTTTTATGTCTTTAATCCACAAATTATTGGTATACTATATAATCTCTTCTTTTAACGTCTAATGGACGCAATTACACTTTATCTAATTTAAACTGAGTTTAATAAAAAATCCCAGAGTGCAGCACAGCACTTGCTTGACAAATTCAAGAAGATTAGAAATTTAAATCCACTACGAACACATAAAATTAGTCGTGCCAGACAAGAGTATCGCTTAATCTGCATAAAATCCAACTCAGCAAAGTTTGGCTGTGTCTTTCTAGTGCTTTCAGCTGCCGAGTGCAGCAGCATTTGCCAAAAAGATTCGAAAGATTCGAGTGCAAAATATAAAATTTAAAATAAAATTGCATCACATTGAAGTGGCTCTTTCACTTTGAGCGGTGGCAATGCTCAATGTAAATGTGACAGTAAAAATATTTACACATTTATATTTTTGTGTATGAATATTTTCAGTAAGGAATGCTTCCTTTGCTTCTTCTTGTTCTTCATCTTTCCCTGACAATGGATTTCGGAATAAAGCGAGTTTTCATTGCCAAAAATGCCAATTTGATGTGTCTGTCAGGCTGCACTCTCATGGTTATTGTCTGAAGATGTCTGCGGTGGATAAGTTTTTATCGCTCGTCCAGATTTAATTGAACAGCAATTTTTTAGATTTTATTATAATAACATTTTTAGTGGGCAACTTGAAAAATAATTGCTCTATCAATTTTCCGAAATGATTTTCATTTCATACGACGTTTGAGGCAGCAACTTAAGAAGTCTTTTGACATTGTGCTTAAAGGAAATTGTCCTCCTCCCGCAGGCATTAAAATTAAACACGGATTCTTAATGATTATGCATATATAGATTGTATGATATAGACAAGTTTAAATATAATTGTGTTCGACAGTCATTGTAGTTTGCATATTTTGGAAAATTTTAAGAATTTCTAAAGGATCATATAGCAACAAAACAAAAAAAGAATTAAAATAAAATAAAATTTGCTAATACAATTAAATGACATTCAATACTTTTTGGCCTTTGATAGAGCCAAAATCGAAATAATATGAGGAAAAAAATTTGCTTTTGATTTTTGCTCTATGTATAGTACTTTCTGTTCCTACTCAAACGCCTATTTCCCTATTGGCTTAGGATAATCGCACACTTAACAATTGATTGGATTTCTGGTGCGCTTAACGGAATGCCCATTAATGTTCTTCAATTGAATGGAAAAAATTTGTCGCATAAAATTTTTAGGAAAACAATGGACTTTGTTGACAATAACATTGGCGTATTTCTTTGAGGTAGGAGTGGCCTAAATTTTTGTAGAACATTTAGTCTCATAGATTCTTTTGAGTAAATAAATTACGTATTAAATTACCATAACCCCCATGTGATTTAATTGCTTAGAATAAAAATGTCAAATGGTTTTGTATTCAAAGAACTTCTAGGAATTTTTGACATTTTATACGTAAAAATTCTATTTGATTAACCATTAACAAATGGCGTTAGAATATTGTCGGTTCTTTCAATTGAATTAATATTAAATCTACCAAGAGAGTTATTCATATGGGTACACAATACTAATATTTTATGTACGTCCAATTGTATGATAAATGAAGATTTATTATTTAATATCTAAAGAATTGCAGACGTGATCTAGTATAACGCATATCATTGCAAAGGAATCTTCGATATAACTCATAACTTTTTCAACTTCATTCAGTATTGTGTAGGAACTCTAAACTGCAATATGGAAAATTACAGTGGAGATACAGTATAACCTATTTAACGAGTATTACATATAAGCCAGTGACGACCCTATCTGGAAGGGTGTGCGGCCCTTCTATAATGTTGTTTTTACATGTACCACTTATATTAAAATATATGAGATCTTTTATTAATAATAACTATATTATATAAGGCAACAATATATTCGCAATATTATATTAACAATTCATTAACAAAATAATATATTAAACAAATTAAATAATCAATTTATATATAAATTTAATATTATATCAATATGGAAGAAACAAAACTTTTCATATACTTGTAACATCAAACCAACTTTTTTCAAACAAAAGAGTTTGTACTTGGAAACATACATGTTTATGCAGTGATCAAACAAAATCAAACCCACTTGCAACGTATATGTAAATGTGCGGACAAGTACTCCGCACAGTAAGAACAGAAATTCGTTGGTGCTACTGTTAAAAGGGGAGAGACGAAATGTGATAGAAATATATGGTGAGATGAGCTGCAAACTTCAGCCGCTCATGCAACCACTTTGGCAAAATCATCATGTTGGATTCGTATGCAATGCAGTTGATATTCGAATAGAACAGAAATTACTCTCATACAATTCCCACTATATAATCTCTATTTTCTGATATTACGAACGGGAGCACACGCACATTATTTTGTTCATATGCAACGTATGAATGTGCGGCCAACTTCTTTGCACACAAAGGGGAGAGACGAAATATAATAGAAATGTTCTGTGATTTGAGCTGCAAACATATGAGCACAACTAACAAGTATAGCAGCTAACAGAAGCAAATTGATTGAGTTTTCATAGACAATTATATTTAATTGTTTTTTCTAAAACTTTAAAAATATATATGGAAATGTAATAAATAATAATAATTGTTGATGTGAATATACTTAATAAATTTATATACCTATGTTATTTGACATTTTGCAAATTATGTTAGGGTGCTCACCGCACACCTCCGCACCTTAGAGCAGTCGTCACTGATATAAGCCATACTTTTTTAAACTCCATTGATGACTTCATTAAACTTAACTACGATCAATGAAAATATTGTGTAGGGACTCTAAACTGCAATGCAGAATTACAGTGGAGATCCAGTATAACCTATTTAACGAGTATTACATATAAGCTATACTTTTTTAAACTCCATTGATGATTTCATTAAACTTAATAACGATCAATGAAAATATTGTGTAGGGACTCTAAACTGCAATATGAAGAATTACAGTGGAGATTCATAATAACCTATTTAACGAGTATTACATATAAGCCATACTTTTTTAAACTCCATTGCAGACTTCATTAAACTTAACTACGATCAATGAAAATATTGTGTAGGGACTCTAAACTGCAATGCAGAATTACAGTAGAGATTCAGAATAACCTATTTAACGAGTATTACATATAAGCCATACTTTTTTAAATTCCATTATAGGCTATGAACCTCGATCGTTGAAAATATTGTGCAGGAATTCTATGAAGCAAACCTGCAGTGATGAATCTTTTTGTGAAGAGTCGATATTGTGAATGACTCAAATATTATCTCATTTCTTATCTCATTAAATCATCGCTATATATTCTATGCATAAATAAATAAAAAAACAATTATGGCACAAATAAATTTATTTTTTTTTCCACAAGTAATTTAGGTATATTTTTAATTTTACAATAAATTTTATAATCTAGATTTAGATAATCTAGATGATAATCGTAACAAATAAGCAAATATCAAAAGCTCTTAGTATCGCCAATGTAAGTAATTCTTCCATACGTTCTTAAGAATTCTAAATAAGTACAAGAATTAATAAATATTTTAATTATAATATTATAAATTATAAAAAATTATAATTATAATTATAATACAAAATAGTTTTAAAAAATATTACTGACCTTTTTCCTTGGAACAAGGGTTCGGGTATTAGTACCTATGAGTGATTTGCCTTAGTGAGTTTCGAACATTGATAATTTTTTCCATCGATAAGTATTGGTTGGTATCCAAAACTTCAATACTTTCAAATCGTGGAATCATATGCAATAGCTTGACATCTACACGTCGGCAAGTACAACGGCCCACCAAAAAAGAGAATGGTTGCATTGAATAGATACGAACTTCGATAAGTTGAGGTTCAATTGCCGCAGATAGTATAATAGCATAATCTGATGGGCCGAAAGGGTTTGGCAAAGCATATAAGATCTGTCCAAAATTTGTAATACGGAACATATCTTCTGCCTGCTGCACTGACAAGTTACGTACATTTATACTCATCTTACCCAAAATTTCTAATTATTCCAAAATACAAGCAATTTTAAAGAATTCATTTAATGATTTCAGAAACAAATTGAAAGATTTCTAAATTGTTTGTTAAATTTGAATTAAAAAAAATTTATTTTGTTAAATAATTTCATTTTTGAATGTAGTAAAGTTTTGATATATCAGAGATAACTATGATTTTGAATATTGATTGTAAGTTTACGCATTTCTTCATACTATTGTGTTTGATAAATTAAGTTGAACTTTCACTAAACCTTATTTAACTAAATCCATGTCTTATGCACCTACCATTTCAAGGAAGGATATAGATCAAAGACGCTTGAGGAACTCATGTAAGTATGCTAAAACTTCTCTAATGTGAATCTATTCCGAAAGTCTCTCCCTGAATTTTTACTATAAAGGTTTTTTATCGAAGATTTACTTCTATATTGTCAATGTTTTGTCTTTAATACTAAAATATAAAAAAGTATCATAAAACCTTGTCTCGATTTTTAAAAAGATTTTATATATACTTATAGAAATTATAGAAATCCGACACTAGGAGGTGTGTTCGGTTAGGGCCTGTTGTAGCACAAAAGTTCAATAATGGTCGCAGTCCTCTGCTCAAGTGAGAGCTAGTACCCCGTTCATTCTTATCTTATCTTATAGAAATTATTATTGATAGAAATTATAATTAACTTTATTAATTGACTAAAAATTCTAGGAAAGTTTTCTAACAATAAATGTGTGTTTTTGCAGATCTCAAGATTATTGCTCCTTGGTTCTGTGTAGAAAGCCTGAAGAGATCTGGAGTTTTAGAGGAAATAAGTAATTTTGCATGAATATATTATTTCTTAATAATAAAAGCATTTCTTTGCAGAGCTAAAGATTGTTGTCTCTTGTTCCTGTGGAGAAGATTTGGAGTTAGTGGAGTTTAGAAAGGATTAAAGAATTTGGTACATATAATATATTTATATATATTAGATTGATTAATTCTTTAGAATATTTTTTATGAATTTCGTTATGATATCTTAAAAGTTCTAGAGTGATATATATTTAGTTTTTATATGAAGAACATATATTCCATACATGCTGACTAATTATAACAAATTATATTATAATTATATTATAATAAATTATATATAATAACAAGGGGCAAACATCTCGACTTAATAAACATAATAAATATTACACATATGTATAATTAAATTATTTTAATTAATTTACTAATCATTTTATGGTTTCATCTAACTTTTTGGTTTTTTCTATAGCAATATCACGAAGTAGTAAATCAAAAAATATTACTCAAAGGGTCTTCCTAAGTATCAATTTTATTGAAAATGGGTCAGACATTGAACTTTTTGTTTGCTATTATAATTGCTTTAATTGGCTTTTATATTTGTAAAAATTTTGACTATGTAAAATTTTTGGAGTTCATGTTTCCTACGAATGATGAAAGCAGACATCGTGAATTAACTTGGGATCAATGCTATATTTTGATGGACTTGGACATAATTTGAGTTTACTGACAATTTCATTAACCATTTTTAATAAAAAATTTATGTTTTTCAAAAAGTTGGAAGTTGGATCGAAAGATAAAGTTAATTATGTTACAATTTAAAATTTTATTTAAATATTTATTCATTGTTTTGTTTTGTTAAAATAAAGTAGAATTATGTCTAAAATTTGGTTTTAGTAATGTTTTGAAATAAAGAATGATGGAGAAATAATTATTATTGTATTTTAAACCAATTCAAATACACTTTGGTTTAAATTTTTAGATCACTCTAAAACGCCATACTATTCCAATAAGCTCTACATTATCATTGCAATTACTTAAAGATATAGTATTAAAATCAGCTCTATGCAACTACTGGTTTTATTAAGTTGAAGTAATAGTAGTATTAAACTGGCCCCAACATTATTATGATCAAGTTGAGTGTAAACTGAATGTAATATTTATCTACTTTTATTTTCCTGACAGATCTATTCTCCTGTGTCTGAAGAAATTCCACAAAGCTAATTTGCAAAAGATACCGCGTCAACTATCAGTTTTTTTTTTTGCTATACTGAACAAAGTCTCCAAAGTATATCTATACAAAGAAAAAATTACGGTTTTTTTTATGCGGAGAGGAATTTTAAAATTCCTAACGCATCGTTACTATGCCGTCACAATAATGGTATGCCCGGTTTGTGCGGACTAAAAATAATCCCTCTCGTGTACCAAACCGTTTCTATACCGGAATTTTATCGGCAATACTTTAAGGTGGGCTACCTGTGTTGGTTATCGATTAAAAATTTGAAGACATCCATGCCCAGAAAAGAATTGAGTTAAAGCTTACAGTTAAACCTAACATATCTAGTAACAGTTCACCTATAATACTTAAATTATAGTTTAGGAGATGAAGATATGTATCAAATAAGATCTATTTTGTTGTTTTTGGAGAAAATCTTTATAGCTTATCTGAACAAATAAGGACTACTGATAAACCCAACAATGTCATCTGGTTCAAGACTTCAAACTTTATTTAGTGCAGTGAAATTTGGATGTAGATTTTCAGTATTAAAAAGGTACAGCATAAACTATGTTTTCTTGCGGCTTACCCAGACAAAGTCTATGAAATTTATTTGGAGAAATTGAAGCTTCAAATAAACTTAACATTTTTAGTTCAAGATTTCAGACTTCATTCAATTCAATGAAATACAGCAGTTAGTAGCATCTAAGGATTAAGGTGGATGATCTACTGAGAAGTAGAAAGACATACCAGACTCTAAATAATATGTTTTGCTGATCAAAGCTTTTCTGGGTAGTTAAAAGCTGAAGATAAATATAACTACAGTCCTTGGTTCAAAACACCAGACAATATTTAAATTAATGAAATTGGTTTGGAAGTGCATTAGAACTTTATTAGAATTTATTAATGCTATACCTACACAAAGTCTAAAAAAATTATCTGAAAAAATTTCAGTTTCCATGAACTAAATAATACTCTTTGACCCTGGAACCTAGTCATAGTTAAATTTAATAATATGCAGATGAAGGTTAAGTAAAAGGATATATATCGTGTGACATAAGATCTATTTCGCTATTACTGGAGCAAAACTTCAGTGCTTATCCGGATAAGCTTCGAATAAACCTGAAAATATTTCTTGATTCATGACTCTAGACTTGATTGAAATTTGGGTGGAGTTTAATTAAAAAGGTATAGTGAAATCCAAGAATTGTTATATACTGGACTTTGCAGAACTTTAGAAAACTGTTAAAACTATATATTTAATTTTGAGAAAGCCTTCAAAGCTTACCGTAACCTTCTTAAGTTAAAGTTAATCGTTACAATATATTTTGTGTTTGGACTTCAGTTAATAATCGGTTCAATGAAGATGAAGATACTGAATTCATTTCTTGGTAAAATGTGAGTAGACCAGAAGTATAGTTACAGCACTCTGTGTTCAACAGAATTTGCAAGTGTCGATGTTTTTGAATCCCCAATTTAAAATGTAGTTGAGTAATACTCCACCTACCATTAGTATCTATATTGTATATAAATATATTACTATAATTAATATTTTTAATTTTAGTAAGTAATATGTATGTTCATTCTTACTATTTCTACACAAATTGATACCATTATTAGCCATAACTATTTTATATTATACATCAGTTATGTTACTATGGAACGTATTTTCAAACTGAGATTAGAGCACATTCCTGTCAATTTTCTCTATGTAATAAACTTATCTCATTAGTTACCAATTAGTTTTAAAATTTTTAATGGAAAACACTAATTTCAACTTATTTGAATGGGTAAGGGCAAGTACCTCTCTTACATCTACTAAAATTTTTTTTGCTATTAGTTCTACTGATATTCAATCCAATTTCTCTTAAAACAGAACATCACATAACAGTTGTAATTCAATTTAAAATATAAAGGCTTTTATAAGATTAAATTGTCATAGACGACATAAAAGTCTTACCTTACAGTATTCCAAAGGGTATAATTAGCGAAGAATATTCAATTAAGTTTTTTTTTTTTTAAATTACGATACATTCAACCAGTTCCCTTGCAACAATTTTCAAAAGAGAGAAAGGCACTATTCTTGGCATTTTACTTGTCTCATTAATCAGCAAGAAGAAAAGAGCATTTCTATGTTTATCAGAAGTAAAACTAATTAAGCTCGGAATTAAGGACCTTGACATAATTTGGCTCATTTGAAAAATTTTCAATGCTTTTCTTTTGTTTTTCTTGCAGTGTTGTTGCTTTTATTAAAATTTTCTGTAGACAAGAAAATGCACTAAAAAATTATACTTTTTCTTTTTTTTTTTTTGTTTGCTATCAATAGAAGTGAAAAAAAGATACAAAATTACTTCAAAAGTAGAAAATTTTGAATTTATGTGAAAACTAAACGAAAAGAGCAAATTGTAAGAAGGCTATACCAACAACAATAACAATAACAAAAGAACTAATTAAAAAATTAATCTAGCTTAAAGTTTCATTGAAGGAAAAACTTTTCGCTGTTATTACAAAGAAAAAAAAAATAAAAAAAAATAAAAAAAAAATAAAATAAAATCACTAAGGACGAAAAATTGTTCCAAAAACAATGAATATGCAAAACTTTTACACAATATTTGTTTGGATAGTGCAAGGATGCATTTTGATTACACATGAGCGACAATGAAAGCATTTTTAGTTTTAATTCTTAAACGAAGTACATTATTTTCTATAGAAAAATGCTTCATTACATTTAAGGAACTGATTTTATATAGTATATATAGAAGAATTTTTTTTCAAGTCCTTATTCTTTATCTTTTCTTTAGAACACGAGTTGCATCTTTGATTTAAAGCGGATATAAATATGTTATTCATAAAGTGGTAAATTTAATTTAAGATGAAATTCATAATTCTTTTCTTCTTACTTTTATCAAAAGGACACTCGCATTTGCATTTACTCCTAGTTGGTGTTAAGGCTAAGTAACCTCAATTGAAGCTGCAGTAATATTTTCTGCACGCACACTCACCTTTTGAAAAGCGTAGTTGAAGCTGTGAGTTGTGTGAACTGTTAATTTAATTCTGCACCGAAGCAGATACGTACATTCACAAATATACGACAAAGCTTTGTAGAGGCACTAACCCACTTACATAAAGCCATACTGTACATTCAGCGCTATATGTAACACCAAACGTTTATTTTTAAATTCAGTTAAAGACAGGGACGGTTTTTAAAACAAATCTCCGATGAGAATTGAATATATATACCTAGATATTTACTACTAGGAATGAAAATTTTGAATAGCAAATACATTTTAATGTATCTGATCTTCAAAAATCTACACTTACAAGCAATCACAGATATACATGGCTTGAAATACACTAGTCAACGTTATTTAACGTGATTATCGAAGGATGAAAGAGAGGACCCAAGTCGTTTCGTAGTCTACTTTAGCTAATTCTTCGCTTCAGTGAGGCCACTTGTGCTCACGTTGTGCTGTCCTAACACCACACAATATGTATATATATTTAATGTGATTACTAGCTTTTACGGTGCTCTAAATGTGCCTTATAAGGATAATATACATATCAGTATATTGCCCTGATAAATGCCTATATTACAATTTTAAGGAATCACTGCCAGCCACACATTTGGATATAGTTCCTTTTTTGGAAGGGATCAAGACCTAACACCTTTGTTGTTCTTTGAGGCATAGTACCTGTTTGAAAAATGCAACTCTACATAAAATGAAGGTAACTAATACAGTCATTAGTGGTTTAGACACTAACTTGCGTTTTATCAAGCAAAGAAGAAAGAATAAGTTATTCTGAAAGCGTAACTTTTAGTTTTAACCACTGCCACAATAATACTTCCATTTATATGCTAACTTTTACAGAACAGGACAACCAAAGGTGTGAGCACTGGCCCCCATGGTCCCAGCTTTACGTCTATGGCCGAGTGCTGCTAGTGAAACTCACTCACAACTAATTACACCACAAATTGTATTTGGTGATACCTATCGAATTTTAGTCGCCTCTTACTTCAGCAATACCTTATTTCGAAAATATTCTAACCCTTATCACAAAGGGGGAATCATAAGATATAATTGTAGATATAGCAAAAGTGGAGAATAAAGTGGATTTAAGAAGTTAGATTTAACTCTAAACGTCAGAACGTTTAGATCAAATGATGACCCTAGAGATGACTATAGATTTTATAATATATATACATATAAGTAAAAAGTCGTTCCTAATACTTTGTCAGCATCGATGCAGTAATACTTAGAGTAATGGTCTATGATCTTAAATAAATTTTTATAATTTACCATATATGATTTCTTGTCTAATTCATTTCTTAGTGTGCATAGTTTTGATTATCTGTTTAAGGCTTTTGGATCTGGATGTAGCGTTAGCTGATTTAGTCTTAAATTGAGATGATTCTATGTTTTCGGTACTTTAGGTCTTTGTAAAAATTCGTAGATCTAATATATTAAATATTCTTCTTAACGCTATGTGGTGTTGATTTGGAAACTTTTCTATATATTTTCTTCTGTTTTGTTTGATTAAATGCGAATTACCGTCAAATGTACTTTT